CGCGCCCGCCCCCCGACGCCCGGGGGGAGGGTCTGCTGTTACCGCGGACGTGTGGCCGCCCTCGTTCGCAGGAGGCTTTTCGTATCGCGGGGGGCACTGGCCTGCGACGGGAGCGGGGAGAGGATTTAGGGTTTGCCGAGGGGGACAAGAAAGAGGAGCTTCAAAGGCTCAGGCGGATCCCCCAGCTCTGAGCTCTCTCCCCCATCTCGATCCAAAGCGGTTTCGCAGTGGAATAAACATCCCTGATCTAAGACAGCTGCCGGGAATCAAAGGCCGCCCCGATCGGCGCTGAACCGGCCGAAGATGCGACGGAAAAATGCCCGTTCCTGACAAGCGACGGGAAGGGAGCGCGAAGGCGGCCTCTCCCCGCAGCGTCTTGGGGCTGGGAGAGCAGCAGCATTCGCCCTTTCTTCGTCTGATTTGTTTTATAACACTTCTGACACCTAATCTTATCAGCTAATACCCAGGGTTTAGTTACCCAAGACGATTTTTTTTTTTTCCGCACTAGCAGCAAAATTATTTGACTCCCTGCAGATCTGTTTACTTCTGTCAGCCTTAAAAAAAAAATAAGAAAAAAAGAAAGAAAGAGGAAGGAGAGAAGAAAAAGAAAATGAGGAGGGGGAAGCTTATGCATACAGGAAAGATCCAGACTTTCCAAGGCTGGTAGAAACAAGCACTGAGGAAATACAAAGTTAACTCAAAAAAAAAAGAAAGGTTCTGAATATTGACTGAAAGGGTTTGCTGGGGAAGAGACCAGAAACCAAACGAGCACATATGTAGTCCATGCAGACTTGCCTGTAAAATAACGATTTATTTTAATACTTAAAAAACACACACAATCCAGTGATAAATGTCAATTACCAATAATCAGCATAAAGTGCCAAACAGCCATACAACTTTTTTTTTTTTTTTTAATAAACAAAACTTATTGGAATGTCTCTTAATTTGAATACACTGTTCAGAAAGCCAGCATTTAAAAAAAAAAACGCTCTCAGGTTGAGATTTGTTCTCTCTCATCAGGACACACGAAGACTTTAAAGTACCACTAAAAGCATGTTGTGCATACCGTCACTTTGACATATTGCCATATTTCTCTCCTCTGGGTATTTTTTAAATAAGTCCACAAGTCACAAACCTCCTCACAGCGCACTAGACCACAAGGCACAAAAAAAAAGGGTCTCCATGTCCCACGAACACTGATTTGTCCTGAACACTGGGGACCCGCAGGTCCAAGATCTGGATGCATTTTCTAGCGCATGATAGAACTCCCCACTTGAGAGGTTTAGGTCATTTCCAAACATTTATTTTCTTCTCTTTTTAACAAAACAAACTAACAAATGAGATTTTCAAGTTGCCCTTCTCCTTGTCCTAATGGTGCTGTGATGAGAAATCACCGTTTCGGTTCTTAATCGTCTTCCGAATTCTCTGTATTTCCTGAAGTGTAAAAATAAGAAGCTTTATACAGTCAAAAAAAAAAAAAAAGGTATAAAATAAGAGGTTGTGGGTTTTTTTAAAGTAATACTTTTGGAAGCTACGATTTTGGGTGGGTTTTTTTGTTGTTATTGTTGAGATTTGGGGGGGGGTGGGGAGACTTGTGGGTTTTTATTTGCTTTTAAAGAAATTCCTGTCCAACACGTGAGCACCACCTTTTGGCATAAAGTTTATCAAAGCCACACAAGTCAGCTAACACCCTCTGCATCATTCGTGTATATTTTAAATGCAAATTAATCTTTTCACCCACGACTTAGGAAGTTAGTTGCTTGGGTGGGAAGGGGGCGAGGGGGAACGGGGCGCCGATTTTGCTCTTTTTAAAGTACAAACAAAAACAAAACATGAAGTTCAGTGCTCCCATCCTGAAAGTTTTGTTTCTGCTCTGGTTTTGGTGTAAAGTCTGAAGGGGAGGAAAAGTTCATAGAAGTTGGAGGTTCAGCACTTAAGTTTGGCAGGTTTCAGTTCCTTTACTTGCGTGTGCAGTGTCTTGTGGACAGCTAGCGTTCTGGACTGGCAAAATCCTTTCCCGCATTCTTGACACTTAAAAGGCTTTTCTTTAGAATGGATATATCTAGGGAGAGAAAAACAATCGAGATGTCAGAAATAACCAGTGATCTTCCTGATCATGCTTGAGCTTTTTGCACCTACTGCTGAGACCGGGAGCGCTGGAGTGCGGCACTTGGGCGATCATCCGTGTGTGTGCAAGAAGAAAGGGGAGTGTCGGAGGCTTACAAGGGTGCCTCTCATAGGGATAAAGAGCTTCTCTCTAACTTTGGGGTCACACGGTTGTGTGTCTTTATTACACTTTTGAATGATCACAAAGGCAGAAGACTCAAGACAATGCAAATGGAGGGTGAAAACGTCTGTGGAAACTAAAAAGGAGGCTGTGAACGTAATTTCTGTGGGGTGAGTGAGTACAACAACCACCCTGTCTTCCCAAGTGAGTTATCTGGGCTCCTCCACCATCACTGGGAAGAGGAAAACCTAGAGGGAACACTGCCAGCTGGCCAGGGACATGACTTTTTTTACAAGCGCCTTCATGAGTGAAGGTGGGTAGTTGGGAGAGTACAGATACACAAGGAAAAAGGACAGGAGAAGAAGAATCATTACCTGTGATCCCTCAAGTGATCCTGTCTTCTGAAGGCCTTGTGGCAAATGTCACATGTGTAGGGCCGTTCATCGGTGTGTGTTCTTTCATGGATCAAAAGGTTGTAGGACTTGGTGAAGTGCCTGCCACAGAATTTACACACGAACTCCTTCTTGGTTTTGGACGGTAACCTTCCCCGCGTGGGTTTCTTCTCTGGAGAGAGTTTAGTCACCTCAAGCAAAGAGCCCAGCCCTGGGGGTGAGCCCTGACTGTCTGCCTGTCCCAATTTAGAGTGGTCCTCTTGTGTGGCAGCCACTGCTAAGTTGGCAAAGTCGAAGCGGGGTTTGGCTTTGAGGGTCACATTAGCGGCCTCTTGCTTGGGCTGGATGACATGTGGAAAGAGGGGGAAGGTTGGCCGGTCGAACCGTGCATCCACTAGGCTCGACACGCTGGGCACTGGGCGGCTGAACCCGTCCATCCACTAGGCTCGACACGCTGGGCACCTTGGAGAAGGAGGAGCGTGGCAGATGCATCGCCGGATACCCCAAAGTCCACTGGTGCAGGTGTACAGCATGCAGGGCGCTGAAGCCGTAGAGGTTGGAGAGGTGGTCAGAGGGCACGGCGGGCAGCCCGTTGAACGCTTGCAGGAAGGAGTAGTTGGTGAGCTGGAGGGAAGGATGGATAGGCACTGGGGCTGGCAGGGTCTTACTTCCCATGTTGTCTGCTTAGGAGGAGGATCTTGGGAACAGGGGAGGAAAAGACCTGGAAAACAAAGATGGAGCAAGGGAGAGGGAGAGGTGGATTTATATGAAGATAAAAGCAGAGGGAATTTCTCACCTCACCACTCGTTAATGCCCTTCTCCAAAGCCATAGGAGGAGACTGCCTTGGACTTGGAGAGGCCTGACCAGCTCTTGGCTGCAAGTGTATCCCCACAGATCTCCAGACTCTCCTTCTCTCCGTTCCTCACACACAGAATTTTTGACCCATCCACAATCATTCATCCCCCAACAACATCCCTGTGTCAGATAGACTTCTGATGATCCCCTGCACAAGGACAGTGAAAATAGTCCATTTTGGCCCACAAAACTCAGGTTTCTCCTGCATAATTTAAAATCTCTTCCTGGGTGCTCTCAGACTTTATAAAATGGTGAGATACTGCCCACTGTGTCTGCCCACAAAAGCTGTCTTTAGCCCTGACCCTTGAGGTGACACAGGGAGGGGGTGCAGACTGTGGTCTGGCCTCAGCCAAGCCTCTGCCTCAGGGCTGGTGGATGCAGCTGGGTACTCAGACTTCATGTCCTCCGTCATTTAAAAATAGAAAATCCATGAGTTCTGGGGGGAGAAAAAGACAGCCAACAGTCCCCTCTCTCATGTACTGCAAAAAGAAATGGGAAAATGCTGAGTCCGGGTGACAAAGCTAAAGTGCTATTTGCTCTCACCAGGGGGAAGTGCCTGGTTTCAAGCCCACGTCCTAATCTAGGCAATCGCTTAATTAGAACCCTTCAAAAGGCAAGAAGATGAGGGCTAGAGGGACCCTTCCCATGGGGACACCCAACCCACCAGCTGCAGGGCCGCAGGGCTGCAGCCCTTCCCTGGGCTGGCTGCCACCACTTTGCTCTGTGTTTCAGCATCCCGCCAAGCCCCCAGCCTCTCCTCTGGGCAAGATCCCTGCCCATTCCACCCTACAAAAGGGAGGGGAAAATATTACCAGGCAGCAGCATCGAGGCACATCTGGCCCTGCCTGCAAATTCAGCCCCAGCTGCTGTCAACCATTTGGCAGGAGATGCCTCCCCAAGCTTGGTAATGGGGACACAGCTTACCCTCTTCGTGGGTGCGAGAGAGCACTCATGGATTTTGGAGTCATCGCATACTTGCAGCCCAGGGAACCTCTTCCTTACTCCACAGCCCACGGCTTATACTTGCTTTCCCTTCACAGTGAACTTTGGGATTTGCCCTCACTGGGCCTCAGTGGCCTCAGTTTGCCACAGTTTTCCAGCAGGATCCCCATAGAGCCCCCACAGGATGCTCATAAGATCCCCACAAGTTTGCTGTGGGGTTCCCGCAGAGTGTACATAGGGTCCTCTTAAGATCCCCTATAGGCTTCCTGCTTAGTCATCCTGGGTCCCCACAAGAACCCCACAGCATCCCGGCAGGATCCTTGCAGCCCTCAGGATCAGTTCATCCCAGTGTGAAGAGTAAAGCCCCTTTGGAGAAAAGGAGGCAGCAAAGTGTTGCAGGCCAGTAATGGTCCCTCTGGGCTGGAGGGCTGGAAACCGGTGGCAGAAGAGGTCTAAAGACCAGGGAAACAAATCTGATTTATATGTGGGCTGTTGCCTGGACTGAGGAGCAGTGGCTGGGAGGGTGTGAGAGGGAGAAGCTTACTCTGAGCAGCTCTACATGCCAGATCCACCTTTCACACCGCTTTACATAAATCAGCAGCAGGAACAGGGATTCAAACCTTAGAGGAATTCCATCGCAATGACCCAGAATAAGAGATTGTGACATTCTGCCTTCTTTAATTGGATACATTTTGGATAGTGGCTGATTGAAAAATGCACACATCACATTCTCCTCCCTCTCCTCTGTTTTTCCTTTTCTTTTTTTTTTTATTTTTTAATATTTAAGGCCGATGAACCAACCAGACTGTTTTGTTGTTCAACCAGGGAAAGGCTTTTTATTTTGTTAGCGCTGCCCATGCACAAGGCGTGTCCACTTCGCAGCACAAATGCCTCAATCCATGACCCCGAGAGCAAAGTGCGCGGAAAACACTCCGGGTACCTGAAACATCTTTTTTCTGTCTGTCACAACAGCTCCGTGTCTATTTTCTTGTCTGTGTAGCCCTAGATCTCTCAAGCATGAAACATGCTATTGCAAACTGAGTTAATTTCTACGCTTATCCCTCTTGCTTTCTTCGTATCCTTAAAAAACATTTAATATGGAATACATAAGCAAAAACCTACTATGTCAATTTGGGTAAATTCTTGGTCGATAACATTTAAAAATTTCTCTTTCGATTTCCCAAACGAAGAAGGGGGCAGAAACCAAAGAGAAATACATCCAGGTCACAATAGCATCTGCTGCGCCTGCTTATTTTTTTTGCTAAAGCAGTTGTATTATTTAAGGGGGGGCCAAAAGTAAAATAATAGAAAATAAAATAAAATAAAATAA